GATCCTAACATTCACTGAAGTGAGGTGTGGGGGGTCAAGAAGGTGATGTGCTTTCAGACCATGCATCTAGAATGCTTCTGTCCCCTCTCTGCAGGAATATGTCAGCCCAAGCACGTGAATTGGTGGAGCTAATGAGAAGCAGCTCGGTAAGTGGAATTTGGGCCACCTGTCAGTGCTCCCACGGTCTCTGGGAGCTCACTGAAATTGGTGGGATGATTGACTAGTGAAGACTGCTTTACTGATGGAAGCAAAGTCAATGTCCATGTCTCTGGTGTGCTTTCCAAGATGAATGTGCCAGGGATTAACCTTTAGGAGATGATAATTTACTTACACAAATCCATGCAGGTAAGGTACAAACACACAAGGCAGAAACTATTGAAGGGTGCAGTGCAGCCAAGAGTTCTAAGGATGGTAGTGAGGAAGAGGAGATATCTGAAGGTTCTGGGAAGATCACAGGACTGCTTAGTTGAACAGCAGCATTTGAAGTGGAGGTCCTAAATGATGTTAGTGTAAAGTCGCTGAAGCAGGCACCTGGTGACCAACATGAATCACACTGTTCACTCTTGAGTCTGGGAAATGGCAATACTGGGAAGGGGGACAACTGAAGTCTTCCCAGGAGATTAGGCCTGAAACTGAAAACTCTGGCTCTGAACAGGCAAGTGATTAATCAGCAATCAGAAACCTCAAGGTTGAGTGAATCCCTGTCACGCCACAAGCTTTTAGGGAATTAGTAGGGGATCTAGTGTTGTGGGCCAGCCTGCTGTGCCAGCTCCGCTAAGGGCTACAAAGGGCACCAAAAGGATGACTCACTTTGAATTCAGTGGCTGCTGCTGCAGTTTCAGGTGGAAGCAGGAAATCTGTGAGGAAACCAAGGCTGCCGTGCTCCAAGTGCCGGCAGAATTGAGCGGATGCCTGTCTGGGTGTGAGCTGTTGGTTCAGGGAGAGCACCCTGTAAGCGAATGGGAGTGCCTGGTGCCCCTTGGCTCAGGCTGCATGGGAAAGCAAGGTAGTGAATAAGCAGGATTTGTCAAAGCGTGTGTCTCTTCATACCAGCACTCTTGATGGATGCTGCATGCTAGTCCCACTGTCAGTTACTCTGCATTACTGATTGTTTGGCAGAGTGAAGGGAGCTGGCATGGCTCTTCAATAAAATAGTACGTGGCTCTAGAGCTTTGTTTTATTCACTGCTTTTTATGCATCTTTAAAAAGGGGGAGGGGGAAGTCCCTGCCACACTTTGCCTCTTCATGAAAGGCTTTCCAAGCAAAGTGCTGGTTAAGGAGGAGAATTCAGACCTGTGGGTGATTCCCAGGCCCTTCCTCTATTTGTGGGATCATTTTGCAGATGTTTGTTATGTAAATGCAGCACACTAAAAATAGTTGCCTTTGATTCCTTTCTTTGTACTGAACGTTACAAAATGTTTTGATTAGATCCAGCTCTCAGCAGTGCCTATTGTTAGCTTGCGGTGACGTGGATGCTGCAGCTGCCCTTATATGAGCTCAGTGAAGTCACCAGCCTCCTGGACTCTTCTATTTTAATCCAGCTGCCTGTTCCCTGGGGCACCCCTCGCTCCTACTTGCTGCGGGGTAATACTTGCTCTGCTGGCAGGGATCCCCAGCAGCTCTAGTTCCACAGCTCCATGACTCACTCCAGCATCCACTCCCACACCACTTCATGCCCACGCTGGCTGCAGTGCTCAGCCACGGCTGGCAAATCTCTCCTGTCCATCCCTGTCCTGAAGCTGACGTTCACTTAGTCATGCTTGCTGCCACAGAGACATTTCCATGCTCAGCTACCCTGCCAGATCTTGTCTGCTGAAGGCAGACTTTTCCTTACAAAAGTCAAGGTGAATTGCAGCTAGTCTAGCAAACAGTTCACATTTTCCCCCTGGACAGATACTTTTCTTTTGCTGTCTTAACTCAGCACGCCTCCTTTCTCTGTTCTGCGGTGCCATCTGTACCCGTTTAGCCCTGTTTGTGAAAGTGACCTCTGCATGCCTAAGCAATGGATGCTGCAATGTGTTTATTTTATGTGCCACTAGAAAATTAACTTCAAGGAAGACTGGAAGCTGATCACTATTCTCGTTGGAGGCAACGACCTATGCCAGTACTGCTTGGATGAGGTTTGTATCTCTGAATTAGGCATGCTCATCCAGGCACTTGGCAGCTGACCAACCCTGGAAATTAAACCTTTCTCTCCATCAGTGAGCCAAAGATCCTCTTTGTTTCAAAAGCACTTAGAAGTCCTGTTCCTTTAATCTGTATTGTATGAGAAAGAAGTGCACGGCTTTAAATATTGGGGCACTGCAGCTCTGGAATAATGCATTGTTTAAAAACCAGCAACCCGCCCCATATTGAACAAAACACCAAGTACAAACTGCAGACCTCTCCCAGCTTAACTGGGCAAAGCAATCACGACGGCGCGGTGTCTTAAGCATGTTGTTATGGGGACACAAGTGAAGTTTTACTCTGGAAAGCGTCTTCATGCAATAATTACTGAAGGTGCCTGATTCTTCTTCAGAATGACACCAAAAGAAATAACATCAGCTTATAGTGCAAAAGATGGCTTTTATCTAGCTATCAGTGGTCATCTGCTCAAAAATGGTTCCTGTGGCATGCACTGGGGGCCTGGACCCCAGCTTATTGAAATGACCGGGGACTGTTCTCTCAGTTTCGCTTTTCCCTTCAGAGGCTGCTGCCTGGAGTCTTTGCCCCTACAGTTACACTTTTAAAATTACACTCAAAATAGTTTTGCCTATGGGTTTTGTGGGACCTGACTGCCTCCATATCAATTTGCCCAGATTGGCAGTTTAAAAAAATAAAATAAAATCACTCTGTTCATAAGTCTGGTCTGCGTCCCATAAAAGACAACATGAAATCCAAAGATGTGATTTATGTAGTTATTCATCTGGCAAAGACTCTGCCAAGAACTATTATATACCTCAGGATTTTCTAGAGAGATTAAAGGAGTGTATTAGTGACACATAAACACAAGCACTATATAACCTGTATGCATGTGGCAATAAACCTCTTGATCTGAAAGTATATCTGCCAACAAAGGCAAAAAGCAGCATCGAGTCAGTACATCTTCTCATGGAGTGCCTTGCAACGAGAGAGTTTGTGGAATCCTCCTTGGTTCCTGAAACTGATCTTTTTTTTTTTTTTTTTATTTTTAAATTATGCAGGAAACCTATTCAGTGCAGAAGTATGTAAAGCACCTTCAGGACACTCTGGATGTTTTCTATGAGGAGGTAAGCTTTTAAGATACCCTAGCAAGCTATGTTCCTGGCAAGCACACCGATGTTTTTCGCACCTCTGATAGACTGTCAGTGATTATGTTTCATACAAGGTCATCTTCCAAATAGCTGGAGTCAGACTGCTCCTCAGCACTGCATTTCAACAACTGCATTAGATAATACCCTGAGAAAGCGGGCTGCAGTTTCAGAAAAACTGTGTGTTGCACAGTATTTTTGCTATGGACCAAACCTAGCACAACCCTACTGCCAGTTTTGATGGCTAAACCAACTGTACAAGGTTTCATTCACCCTAGAGAAAATGGAAATGCCCCAGGGAGTGAAGCAGCATTTCAGCTAGCTTGTACTAGCTGCCGGGATTTTTCTGGCTGGCATCCACTGTGCGTCTCCCTCCCCCTCCCTTCACATGTCGTCCTTGCGCATGCCGTTGGTTGCAGGCGGTGCAGTTTGTGCTGACTCCCTGACCTACGGATGGCACTTATTTCTCACTTTGTAGTGGTATCATGTTCTGTGATTTGGTATGTCTGGTTATTATAATCCCTGCAGCTTCCAAGAGTCTTTGTCAACATAGTGGAGATACTAGAGATTTCTGGACTGCGTCAGATCGCGGCAAGCTCTTCAGAGTGCGCTTTGACAGCAAAGTGAGTGAGCAAAACGGGTCTTTGCCTTTAAAGTGCTATTTTTTTGGATCAAAATCTAAATTGCTGCTACGGTAGGACATCCACACAGAGCTTTCCAAGCTACTTTCATTGCCACCTTTACCTGATGCACTAGTTCCCATTGACTTTCTATTGCTTCTTCCAATACTTCAGCTCAAAGCCATGTGCCTGTAGATAGCAGAGTCGTCACTTTTCTTCTCAGCTCTAAGGCACCATGTCACAGCACAAGTCACCATATAATTGCCATACTACTGAACTTCAAAGCCTTTTTCGCCCAGCCATTCACTGCTCAGCCGCACAGGCTGACATCCCTGACACCTCCCCTTGTATTCAGTGCTGCATTGCCTGTGGTGCAGGCTGGGCTGCGTATAGCAGAGTGCACAGCCGGGAACTGCTTCTCACACCTAATGGAGGAGACCAAAGTCCTAACTCAGAGAAGACTGAGGGACTTGTTTTAGAAAGCAGCAGTGCCTTTACAGGAGTCAGCGTGGACATGAAAAGGCTCATTAGTCTAGTGGAGAAAGGTGTAACAAAGAGCAGTGGTTGGAAGCTGATGCCTAATGAATTCAAATGAAGATAGGCATGGATTTTTAATAATAGAAGCAATTAACTACTGGAACACACAAGAAGGGAAAACAGTGAATTGATGTCTTCATATCCATTCCAAGCACATTCTTAGAGGGTGTATTTCAGTGAAGCAAAAGTTATTACCTCTTGACATGGGGGTTAACAGAATGAAACATGTTGGTCTGAGGAGTCAGACTACGGGAACAATTTGTCTTTTCTATCTTTAAACTCTGCTGTAAGCCTATATGAAGGGTTTTAACTCTAACACATGTGATTTCCTGCTAATGTGTATCATGCTAAACACTTGTGTGTCTGACTCAGAGTTGTGGATCCTGCAGCTCTTACTGACTGTGACAGGTGTTCACTTTGAAAACTAAGTCAACAGGGATTTTTCTTCTGAAGTATCTGCCCACCTCTAAGCCAGCGAGGTGGCTCTCCTTCTGCACATGAGATCTGAGCACCTATCCTGAGCTTTTTGAAGCAGAAACACATTGCTGAAGAATTGCATAGGCTATTCCAGGTTGGCTTTTAATTCTAGTATTTCTTTTGCTGAAGGGCTGCTTGCCCGTGTTTCTTAAAGCCTGAGGAAAACTCTTCTGAACTACAAGAAATTGAGAGAGTTAACAGAGATTTTCAGGTAATACCTTGATTCTCTGACTGGTCACCTTCACTTGTGTCTCTTTTTCTATTGCTTTCCTTCCTTTCATGCATATCCTCAGCAAACAGAGGGGGGTGACTAGGAAGCAGCTTGGCTACAGTCTAACTAACCCCCTACCCAGCTAACCAGTTAGCAGCAGTGCAAGTCTTTCCACAGTGCCTTATAATTTGACCTCGGTTCTGAGCTGGAGGCACATTGAGACTGGTTCTGTTTCCAGCTGCTCTTTCAACAGCTGAAAAGGAGTTACTGCTGATGCCTGTTTCACTGGTGTGCGTTTGTGCACTATGAATCCAACGAATAGCTCACGTGAATTAACACATCACTGCAAGGGTGACAAATTACCTTGCATCAGCTGTTTTGTGGTAAATCTTAGCTGAGAAAACAAACTCAACCACCCTGATATTCCTTTCTTTTGCTATGGGCTAAGAGCGTGCACACAGCTTACCATGGGTCAGCTTGCTCACTGAGAGTGGCTTTTCATAGCCCTGAGCATAAGATTCACTCAAATTTAACAAAGGCTATAAATAGCTATTGTAGCAGAGGGTTTTTCCGTCATTATTGCTAGGCATACAGGATTCGTTCTATCAGTTCACATTATGTTCTCCGGTCCTCCATTGTGGTTCTGACAGTGGATGTTGCCTGATGAATCTGACAATGCTCAAAAAGTCCATCTTGGAAAATACTTGTATAAACCTGTCCAGGGGGTGTTTTCCTTAACTAGAGGAAGTGGGGTTAGGAATGTTTTGGGATATGATCAGGAGCATTAGAATTTTTACCCTTAATCTGGTAAGTAAAAATGAGATGGTTTTATTATCTATATGAATGTCTATTGTCATAGCTTTCAAAAGCAGCAGGTGATTTTTCAATGCTGAAGTTTTATTTTACTTCAAGCACACCTTTCTGAAAAATCAAGTGCACTTCAGTCTCACATTGGTCTTCTGGACTCATTTGTCATTTCTACAAATTTTGACCTTATGCCTCTTTTTTTTAATTCTCCATAAATTTTAAACTCGTGATTTCACTGATTTCTAGAAGTAATGTACAAATTACTTTTTTTTTTTTTTTTTTTAAAAAAAAAAAGCAAAAATGCTTCTGTGCATTTTCCTCAGGAAAATCTCTTCATGACCCAAATTATTTCCTTAGCCATTCTATGGACTGCTTTAAACTATTCAGTTTATATGCTGGAGACAAAAACTGTAACTGGATTTATACTAATAATTTATGGCTTCCTGCGTTGAAAGAAGTGTAATATGCACGGATTTGATAGCTGACAAATGTTAGATGAACCTGGTAAGTAACTTTTCTGTTTACAACCATGCAACTCCATATAGGTTGAAGCCTTACAGCTGGTCAACAGTGGTCTGTACGAGGGGCGTGAGGACTTCGCAGTTGCCATGCAGCCATTTTTCCGAAACACATTGCTGCCCCTGGATAGTGTAAGTCCTATTTTTCTTTCCTATTTAGCAAAGACCAGTGTCTTGATTTCCCTAAGTAAGAAAGATCCATGCCACAAGGACTGTGTTTTCTCTGCACAGTCTAGTGGCACAGGGTGGAACCTGCGATAACAGCAACAGAGGAGAAGACAGGAAAGACTGTGCTGCCTGTGAATCAAAATGACTGTAAGAAACATTCGTAGTGTGCACACACTAAACCTAAGCACCCTCTGGCTTTCTCTAAACTGCATGTTTCTTCCCCTGTTGGGGCTTGGTTGGCATTCACCACAATTTTCTTCTGATCCAGGTTATGGAATACGTTCAGGATTCCTTCACATGGAGTCCAGCAATTACATGCCTGGCTCCCAGCCTGGAAACAGGAACCAGCCTTTGAAGCCAAACACTGATTCTCCTCCTTTTTCTCCAGCTTTAGCATTATGTATGCTGTGTCATTAGGGATACAAATATATAACACGAATCCTGGTCAAAACCACTCAGTTTTGCATGATACCGATCCTTTTATCATATCGTCATTTTGTTCTGGCAGCCTTCAAGTCCAAAGAATGGTCACCATACCGGTAGTGATGAGGCAAATTCTCCCTCAGTTATTTGCCACAGCTGGATAAGACCCCAATTTTTAATGTTGCCTAAAATTCAGGTTATAAGTCTGAGTTATGGAAGTTTAACAAGCAAGAATAAGTAGTTTTCTATCAGTTCTGTACATGGTGGAGTGTGGGTCAATGGCAGTGTCCACGTAAGAGCTGTGACTGTTGGTTTAATGATGATTAGGTTTTTCATGAAAATAGTTGTGTGAAGTTGAGCGGGCTGCATTACACAGCAGGTCTCAAGACGCAGTAATCAGTCCATAGTTACGAATACCTACGTTTATCTGCAGTGTCAAAATATGAGCATATTGCCTTTAGGAAGATACCAAAATTGTGAAGCGAGTATGCTAAGTACAGTGGACTATTAGATATAATATGTCAGATCTCAAAGATTGAAATCTGCTGAGAAATACATTTTTGCTTTTATCGCAGAACGGCAAGCCAGATCTGAGTTTCTTTGCTGCAGACTGCTTTCATTTCAGTGCAAGAGGCTACGCTGAGATGGCCGCGGCTCTCTGGAATAATATGGTAAGAGGTTACAACCTAGATCCCTATGTGTTTGTGGTGGCAGTCCCTACAAAAGTTCATGAGAAAGGTGTCTGAAACAAAACAGTAAGCAAAAAATAGGACTGATATCCTAACAAGACGGGGGCTGCTCAACTCAGACCCTTCTCAGTCTGCATTGCTTAGGAACACAATCCAAAGCGATCACGTTGCATAAAACAGTGTAAGTCTTTGCTAATTCAAAATGAGAAATCCTGAGAGTCTTAATGTAATGAAAAAATCCTTTCTCATTTGGTAAACAACTTGCATTAAAGCAAAAAATCAGCCTAGTTCAACGTTCAGTCCTGCAGGTTTCCTGAAAATGTCTGTTGAATGAGCTTGCCCTTCTTCAGTGAATTGTTAGATTTATTAGGAAAACATATATGTTATTGAATTTTTGCTGTCGTTAATACTGTGGACATGTTGTACCACCCACTCTAGTATGTGAAGCAACTGTAGTAGAGCCATTGAAACTAATGGGGGGCTGAAATCACACCTATGATGCCTCTGCTTGCAGCCACATTTCTTCTGTCATTTTGGGGGAAATGATAGCTTTTGTATAGTGCTGGAAGAGTGTGTGAGAGGCCCATGTTGGACTTCATAACTCCAAGGTCACAGTTGCTTTCAGAACCAGGATTTTTCCCATGGTGGAAAGAAGAGCATCACATTTTCGTGCCACAGTGACATTTCCTCCTCTTGTCTCATAAACACCAGTACCCAAACACATTGTGGTAGCAGAAATCCCGTATCTTGGTTTGTACAAGAAACAAACATAAATGGAGGGGAATTTATTTGCAGTTTAAGTAAAAGTTTGAGTAAGATAAGAAACTTACAGGATACTTCAGAATGAACTAGAGCAAAAGGACTGGGAAATACAGGGCAGAAATGTGTGCGGTTGCCCAGTATAGCATATGAGCTGTAGGTTTGGGATTTTAGAAGGCAGTAGACATACACATGCTCTGAGTAATTGATTTGTGCACGCACAGCAAATCTGCCAGTTTTCTGTCAAGCTTCCCTGTCTGGGGCTTCAGATGACAGCAGTCTGGTAGGCCTCATTGTATGGTAGCTTGAACAGGGCTAACGGTGGCCCAGAAACCCCAGGTAAATGTAGAAAACATTAAAATTAAGCATGGCTGCAGGTTTCAAGAAGAAAAAGAGACAGTACCTAGATGTATGGTAGCCTTAAACTGGGATTCTGTTGCCATGTGGTGTTCCTGTTGGCCATTACTCATTCCTGAATCACCATCAGTCCTTTTTCTGTGCCACCGGAGTGTGATTATGTCCAGACTGTCACTCATTTCCTACACACGTAAGGATATTGACGCAAAGCTTTCTACTAGCGTGGCAGGGATCAGGTTCCTACTGATGTGAATTGCAACTGTTCCCTTCTGTAGAGATCGGTCTGTCCACCTCAACCGAAGATTTTACTACATAAATCTAGTTCTTGTAACACACCCCTGCTTTTCACTTGCAGTCCATGTACGGCAAGGCTGTACAAGCTTACTGGAAGGCCGTATTTTTTCCCCATTCCCTGAAAAGATCAGCAGGCTGTAGGCTTAAGGCCAAATGAGATGGATTCTTGTCAGTACACATAAAGGGCCGGACTGTGCCTGGCCGCTGCGTGGGTATGCAGGGATGGGGATGGCTTAAGGAGCCTCTCCCTCACCATGATGTTTTTTGCCCTTTTCAGTGCATGCAAAGCAAAACATGCTCCTTCTCTCTCAAGTCAGAGGACTCCATAGTCTTAAGAAGCGCGCACTGGTCCCAAATCCACCTCATCAGTCCCCTGGCCCAGGAGAAGAGCACGCAGACAGTGTGTTTAGCTTGTGTTCTTCCTCCATGTTTGCCACACGGTCTCTAAGAGCTGTGTGTTTCTTCCAGAAGTTGCCCTGTACACTCACGGATATGGGGATGCTGTAATCTTCAAAGTTCAGAAGCTAATGCTACTGAGGAACAGATGCCATAGAGATGAAACAAGCACGGCTGGCTACAGAATTTTGCACCTTTATCGTCCTTTGTCTGGGCTCTGTGCCAGACTCCTTACCAAGTGCCCTGGCACATGGAGCATTACAGTTATCTACAAATAACCAGTCATATTGCAGACAGAATACGAGCCACGCATCTTACAAATAGCCATATGAGAATTTCAGCTGTTCCCTTAAAGATGCAATGAAAAAACCAAATTCAGTCTTCACAACATTAGCTGACGGGCAGTCCAAGTGATTAGAGGTCTTATATGAGTCCAGCAGGACCCCACGACAATCAGCAAAACTTGGCATTCTGTTTTACTTCGCATCTTCTCTCCACTTGTTAGCTTTCTTCCCTTCCCTAGTCATATTTTGCTGTGGTTAATACCTCTATTTTCATTTTTCAGTCTCTACTTCCTTTCTTCTTTTTTTCTTTCTTTTTCTTAAACTGAACTAGAGACAGAAAGTGTTCCCAGTATTTCCATATGGGAACCTCATGAATAGAATTTGTTTTCTCCATGTTGTATTGGGCTTGTTGTGGTATTGTTTCCCTCCAGCACACAGCTGACACTTTGATCACTTGAGGACAGTAAATGCATGTATACACAATAGCAGAAGCAACAGCACGCCTCTGCGCTGCATTCCCAGAAGTGCTGGATGACAGCTCGGTGGTTCTCTATGGGCCAATCCTGAAGTCGTTGTCCATACACCGCTGTAAACACTTCAGTTAACATGACTGAGCAAGCCTCTACTTGTTAGCTTAACTATGGTAACCAGTGGTATGTGCACGCCTAGCCAACCACAAATGCTATGCCACTAGCCTGGACATATTTTCAGTTTGAAATGGACTTGGGGCGAGCCTATGGTCAGCTATTGCAGCTTAGCTGACAACTGATAATATAGAAGGCTCTGTTTAACTCACTTCTTGCAATCTTATGAAGCTAGCCTCAGCTAAAACTCACAGGGAATTTCTTGTCTGAGTGAAGACCGTAAAGGTTTGCACCATCTCATCCTGTCTCCGTAATCCTACATAATTTCTGAAGTCACTTCCATCACCGTGACACCTAGGCATCTCTTTTTCAGTAACGTGCTAAGTAACATGACTAACATCTGTCATGTGGGTTCTTTTTTTCTTTGCGGTTTATACTGTCATTTGAGTTTTGTATGTGGGAGAACTGGGTGTAGAGTGAAACACTTTGTTTTAGCAGAGTGTTTAAAGTATGTGGTATTAAGAGTTATTTTCTCCTCCACTCAGTGCAAAAGGAGGAAGGGCTTCTCCTGTTCCTTGCTTCCTGAGGGAGTTTTTCTGCAGACAGTACATCAGATTCTCTATGTCTTCAGTTCACGAGTGTTAAAATGTTTGGAAACTTTCCTGTGATGCACCTTCTACCACATTTCTTCATTGCTGCAAGCACCAAAAGATTGGATAAAAATTGTAACCACCCAAGTCAGGAGAGTCTGGGGAGGAAAAAAATCATTATGTTTACTATTGCTTTTCTCTTGTTCAGCTGGAGCCAGTTGGTGAAAAGCAGACTTACAACAACTTTACCCATGACAGATCAAAACTCAAGTGTCCAAACCAAGTAAGTAAAGGCCAACCTGTCCATACTCTCCATGAACCACTTTCATTGTTCTCCTTTCTTCTTATTGCTAAAGTTCTTGAAAAGAAGTATCTTTGTGAAGGCTTTAAATAGCTAAAATATATGCCTGTTTTGTTACACACAGGAAAATCTAAGATTTAATGCAAAAAAATCATCCTTACTGCAGTGGAAAGCCTCTCGTTTAAGTCAGTTTTAATGAGTCTACATATTTCCATTTGGTTGTCTGCAGCAAAAAAATGTGGACATGGTGTCATCACTCCTGATTCTGAGATGGCTCCTTTTTTTTTTTTTTTTTTTTCCTATGGGCTTTCAGTTAATTTGG